CTCGAACCTGCGGGCACAGGCAATCCACTCACCTCAGCCTCCCAAAGGCGGGGGATTACAGGCTGAGCCACCGAGCCCGGCTAGAAGACATATTCTAATGGGTACCAAGGAAAAGAACTGCTCACAGTGTTGTGGACAGAGTTCACCAATAAGGGGTGGTGAAGCACCTGGGACCAGCAATAGTGGGAGTGTTATTTCTCTGGGCCTGCAGGGACAAGAAAGGAGTCCACAGACCCCAACTAGAGCAATGGCTGTCAGGGAAGATCATCAGACAAAAGCTGCAGCCATCAGCAGTGGGGCGCGGCAGTGGTCAAATCATGCCTGGCAAGGAAGGAGCTAGGGGAGTGACTACCTCTCCTCTCCCTCTCCAGTGTCCTACCCATATCCCCCATGGTCTGAATTCCACCAGGGCCAGAAGGTGAGGGAGCCTGGTGATGCAGTTCAAGAGGGCAAGGGCGGGGAGGAGCCAGGCGAAAAGTGGGTGTGGAGGAGAACAGAGGATCCCAGTTCACTCTGCCAGACTTCTGAGTCCCATAGGAACGGGGCAGTAGCTTAATTTTAACTTATCCCATTCCTCCTTCTTGAAACTATACGGAACAACAGGGATCTCAAGGGGAAGAAATCCATTATCACACACATCAAACTTAACTTCAGGGAAGCTGGGAAGATATGGAAACCCAAAAGCAGGTGACACCAGCAGAACCAATACAGGAAGCCAGGGAAGTGCAGAAAAACAGGGAATGAGGAAGGGACAGGGGTGGGGGGTGAGGCGGAGGAAATCTTTGTTGTTGCCAGCAGCACTCACTTCCAGGAGGAAAGGATCCCCTTAGTGAGAACACAGATCTCAGGAAGTGAAAAAAGAAGGAGCAGATGGTGCCCACGGAAGTCCAGAGGTCCGGGATCACAGAGAGTATTGCCTTCCAAGAGAGAAGGGAGCCCTTGAAAAGACAAGGGTTGAGTTCCTGGAGGCTGCAACTGCCAAAAATAGGCTGGTGGTGTGAATCTTCCTGAAGCTGTCTGGGTTCTGAGAGGCAGAGGGGTTGTGAGTCTGCCACTTGTGAAGGGAGGGCAGGCTCCGGAGAAAGGGAGTCTAGGCAGCTTCCTTCCTCCGTGGGAGCTTCACACTGATGTCTGGGAAATTCCACTTCAAATGTGAACTCCAGTAACCACCATGAACACTACGAGGGTTTCATGATGAATAGGCCTGGTTTCTGACTTCCAACTCAAGAGTACAGTTTCCAGATATTCCTCACCCACCCTCCCTGAATGTCAACCCCTTACGTAACCAACAGTACAGTGATCAGAACCAGAAAATTGATATTCACATATTTAACCAAATTAAATTTAAAATTACTTCATGAAATTGCTAAATCTTAATTAAATAAATATAAAGTATTTAAGCAATAAGTTTAAATCAATGTAAAGTATTTACCTAAATTAAAATTAACATACAGCTAAACTAAAGACCTTATTGGAATTTTACCAATTTTTCCACAAAT